CCAGGCTATCTCTTTTATTCTTCCCACCCCAAGCAGCAAAGAAAGAGGTCCTTGGTGATAAGAAGCTGGGTGGATGGCTTAGAGATGAGGCTTGGTTTTGGCACTGGATAAATCATGCTCATCCAGCTGGGAGCTACTGGGAAAAGAGAGATCAATCATAGAATCACCAACTCATTTGGGTTGGAAAGGATCTTAAAGCTCCTCCAGCCCCAACCCCTGCCCCAGGCAGGGACACCTTCCACTAGAGCAGCTTGCTCCAAGCCCCTGTGTCCAACCTGGCCTTGAACACTGCCAGGGATGGGGCAGCCACAGCTTCTCTGTTCAACCCATCCCAGTGTCTCAGCACCCTCACAGGGAAGAACTCCTTCCTACGAGCTCATCTCAATCTCCCCTCTGGCAGGTTAAAGCCATTCCCCTTGTCCTGCCCCTGCAGGCCCTTGTCCAGCTTCCTTGTTGGCCTCTAGCGCTGCTGCCCCAGAGCTGGATCAGGACTGCAGGGGGGTCTCCCCAGAGCACAGGAGGCAGGGGCAGGATCCCCTCCCTGAGCTGCTACTCACACTGTGGGGGTGCAGCCCAGCACGGGGCGGGGGGCAGAATCTGGGCTCAAGCGCACAGTCATGGGCCATGGGGAGCTTCTCATCCACCAACACCCCCAGGTCCTTCTCCTCAGGGCTGCTCCATTCTATGCTTGTGCTGGTCCCCGCACTCTCCTCACTCCCCTGCACAGCCCGGGATGGCCTTGGGCAGATGAGTTGAGGTTGGATGTCAAGCAACCCGCCTGGATCAAACAAATCATCAACTAAATAACCACCAGGCAATTACTGCCATTAGCAATGCTGACCACCTTCAATTCCCTGGGCATTAATGAGAGGTGGAGGGCACCCAGCCGCTCCCAGGGCTAGGTCACCCATGACGTGGGATGGGGGCGAGGATGCTCTTACTCACATCTCCCTGTGCTCTCCATCACGGGCACCTACCGAGTATGAGCTGGAACAGCAGCATCCAGCCCCAAACAGGTTCAAAGGCTCTGCCTTTGGGAGGGCACGTTACAACACTCCTGAACTGCTTGTGGTAGGAGCAATCTCGATGCTGCAGAGGACATTGGTGCTCCACATCCCTTGCAGGTGGGTGTCACCATAGGGAAGGGCTGCATCCCCTCCTGCCTTCCCACCAGGCACCATTAGAGTTGGGTCTTAGCCTTCCAAGGATGGCAGTGCTGCTCATATCCTCACCCAGGCAGTAGATCACCTTTTCAGGGACTGATTCCTCTTGAGCTCCTTTGTGGTTGAGCAAACCCTTCTGCGAAGGGGGGATTCCTCCCTCACTGCTCCACCAGAGCATGCAGGGAATGTGGAGGGCTGCAGGGAAGGAGGAGGAGCAGAAGAAACTGGCTGAACTCGTTACACTGGTGATGTTTGGAAAGGGTGGTAAGTGCTATGTTAACATTATGTCCAGTCTTTAAGGAATGCATCCAGGATTCACCAGGCAGCAGTAGTTAGGTGAGTCAGGCTGCGGACATGCGGATTTAACCAGGATTTCAAGCCCAAGCGACCTCTAATTGCATAGTAGTAGAGGAATGCTTAAAGTAATCAGCTGTTCCAGCCGTGCCGGCCCCATGGCTATGATGGGGGGGAAGGGAGGAGGGCTGGAGGGGTGTCCTGCATCCAGCCCCTCCTTGGATTACAAGGCAAAAATATAGGGCACGCAAATACCCCGGGGAACGCGATGCTTGGTGGCTTTCCCTTTGAAGGGAGGGTGACACTGCTCCTGCTGACACTGGGAGTTGATAGCGGCATGATAAGCAGGGTAAATACGCTGTGGTAGCAGGAGAGGGCAACCATCAACCACCCCAGTGCTGCTGGCTGAGAGCTGCCCCATCTCCATCCATCACCAAAGCTTCTGGCTGGGCAGGAGAGGTGGGAATGGCTCTGGCGCTCGGGAGGAATGCTGTGAGCTGTTAGGATTGAGAATGCGTGTCCTTGCTTGTACACTGAGAGAGATAACCCATTCCACATCACCTGCACCTCCCCTGGCACTGCTCCAGCCTAACGCCTGTCTCCAAAACTATGGTCCCACCTACAAGAGGCATTCTTTCCTGGAAATGCCCTTGGCGTCACCAAAGGAACGCACAGTGGGTCAGGGGAGGGGGTGCAGGAACACCTCATCCTTGGCTGATCTCACAGCTCGGATGTGCCGATTGACTTGTTTCCCTCCTTCCCCAAGAAGACATCCCTTAGCTCCAGTGGTCAGGCATCCCCAGTAACACCTTGGGATGCCAGAGATGATTTCTATCACATTTGTCAGAGCCACCGAGTCTCTACAAGCTAAAATGGGCAGCCAAGCACAGGGATCCACCCAGGGGAGGGAGCAGCAGCTGGATGCTGGGCACACAGCCATTACCACCAGTGCTGCATCTCCCTCCTCAGAGCAGGAGCTCCAGAAGAAGAGGAGCAGGGAGCTGGTGTTGGCTTCTGCAGAAGCACAGAAGAGTTCTGGGGGGAGCTGCGCTGCTGCCCTGGGCAGATCAGGCTCTGCACAAGCCTCTGGTGATGGCTCAGGAGGGAAGGGAACACCTGAGCCTGGATGTGCAAAGTCACAGATGGGAGAAGGCAGCTGATGAAGGGGGTTCATGGAGCTTCCCACTGTGCCTCCTTGCCACCAGCGAACAGGTCTGCAGCAAACTGCCTTTGGAGCTGAGCAGTGCCAATGCCCCACGCACAGAGTGGGGGGAAAAAAAGCCTTTTAAACCCTCTTCCTCCTTCTCCAACATGAGCTGAAAGCCTATTTGTAATACAAGAGCCTGAACCAGAACCTTCAGCAGACAGCAGCCAGGAGATAGGGCAGGAGAGGTCAATGAGAGAGCAAGCTGCAGGGCTCTTCCCATCAACCTTCACCTCCCCAGGGCTCAGGACTACAGCAAAAGGGACCAAGTTGGTGCCATCCTCCAGCAGCTCAGCTCTGCCACAGCCCTCCTGGTATGTCCATATCAATGAAGCATTTGTCTCATGCTTGGCACAAGGCATGAGAGCACAAGGGTCCGTGTGCTGGATCGCCCAACACAGCTATAAATGGAAAGAGAAGCTGCAGACAGACTGTTCTCTCACCCTGCATCATCTCAAATAGCAAAGCGAGCACCCGCGCTGCCCCAGCAGCTCCTGGGGAGAAGGAGGTGGACTACAAGAGAGAGACTAAATACACACACCGAGACACAACTTGGACACAAAGGCTAGGTCTAGCACTGTGCCTGCATAGAGATGGTGCCACCCTTTGAGCAGATTGAGGGAGATTGGAGCAAGATGCTTCCTGCATTACACAGATCCAAGACAAACTACTCCTGTTTCAGTGATCCTGCAGCACGGCTCCATGTCCTTCCAGGAGGAAACTAACCATGGGCAGGGCCGCAGCTGTAAAATCTGCATTGCAAACCCTGGAAATGATCCTGCTGATACAACACCAAATGGTTTTGGCTGCATTTCAAGGCATCACCCCAGCAGCCCTTTGCAGGGGTGCTGCAGGGCACATGCTGTGCTCACACACAGGTTGCACTATGGGCTTGTTATCCAAGCTGGACACTGTCAACGTAACACAGACCATCCTCCTACAGGCACACCACCGTGGTCTATCCCAACACATGCCTTTCCTCAGAGCGAAGCTCCAGATCCAAGGCTGAGAGCAGCACACACCAACACACCCAGCACTGGAGCCCAGATCTCCTCCACCAGATACTCGGGCACATCCCAACTTGTCCATCAGCCTCTGTTCAAAGAGAAAACAACAGTGACAGGCTACAGGCTGTGAGAAGAGAGATGTTGGCTTGGTTTGGGTTTGTTTTTAATTGGCAATTAACAAAAGAGGGATCCAACTCCCCGCTGTAAACATTGATACCTCCTTTCTGATCACTACTAGTACTTTCCACCAATGTCCTTTTGTAGCGCCTGATCCGCTCCAACAATGAGAAGCCGACTCTGTCAGGGCTTTTGCTGCTCAGGGTCACAAATCCAGAGGCAGTTTATGAGCATCAGCAGCACTGACCAATGGCACTGAGAAGACAACTGAAAGACAAAGCTGATGCTTTAGAGCCACGCTCAGGGAAGGCAGCAGCTTTGTGCTGTGTTGTAAGAATCCCCTCTCACTGCGAGCAGGTTGAGAGAAGAATCAGCTTGGCCAAAGCAGAGTCCTACTCAAGCAGGCGACAGAGACACGGTCTTACGTGGTGCCAGGCACAGCAGAACAACCCAGACCTGTCATCAGAGCGAAGCTCAGCCCTCAACAGTAACCATCTGGAGATGCAGAGCCAGCAAGTTTGTTCCAGAGAGGGACTGGCACATCAGCAGTGATTGCTGCAGTGGAACCAGAACTGCCTGTAGCTTGACAAGGGGAAGTGAAACTTCATCTGAAGCTGGAGGGCAGCCAGAGCTGGAAGAGCGTGCACCCAGCTACAGGCAGGCAGCTTCCAGCTATCACACAAGACACTGGCCTGACCATCAGCAGATCCAAGCTCCTGTGGGAGACAAACCTTTCAAAGCCTCCCCTTTCCAAGAGGAACCATCTAGCAGGTGGGTCAGCTGCACAGGAATAAGCAACTCTCAATCACTCAAGCCACCTTCTGCTTGAGAACAAAGCCATAGGAAACACAAGTCTCCCAGTAGCATTCCCAGCAGCAGGGCCCACAGATCACCACCAGTACCGAGCAGGCTCCATGTCAGGCTCCCTCCCCCAGCAGCAACTTGAGGAGCTTCCAGGAAAAGGGAAGACGCAGAACACTAAAGAACACCCTTATAAATAGAAACCTTCCTCACCATGGCAGTGACCTGCCAACAGCGACACCCTTCCCAGGCTCCAGTTCCTTCACTTGGAGGGACTAAGCAACCCCAATGCACTTGGCCAGGTCCAGAACCAGGCTTGCTCCTCTTGAGGCAACCAGTTGGTTCTCGGTGGGAGGAGGGTCAGCATCTCACACCACACTGTCCCCATGGACAAGCAAATAAAAACCCAACAGATTTGAATACACTGTATTTATTTGCAACAGATTCTAAAGAATCTAGTGAGTTTATGTCAAGCCCATCGCATGACAAGTGATACAGGTGTAGGGGAAAAGACATTTAAAACAAAACCCAAGCATCATTCAAGTTACTGGAATCTTCCACTTGCCCCCTCGCGGGAGGCAGCACAGGATCACTGCAAGGTCTAGAAAAAACTCAGGTTCAACCCACTCACAGGAGTCCCACCACACACACGCTGTAAATCAAAAGTGCAATCTCAACATAAGTTGCCCTTTAGGGAACCTTTCTGACATCTGAAAGGGAAGGAGGGAATCTGTTCAGTGTGTCCATGTGCCTGCAGGTAAAGCAGCCTGTAAAAAATAAGCATGCTACAAGTTCAACTGAGATTTCAAATGAAAGCAAAAGCTATCTCCCCTTGCAGCTGTGAAGGCTGCATCCTTTGGATCTCAAAAGCAGCCCTTAAACCAGTTTTACCTCGCACTGGACAAAGCTCAAGCTCCCACCACAGGGACCAGGCTCTGGGCACTGAGAAGTTCCTGGGCTGTGGCACAGCCCACACACCAGCCTGGCCCATGAAGGCAAAGCTGTTCCACGGGAAGGCAGTTAAACATATAATAACAACAATGTTAGTGACACTTCTTCAGCTCTAACTGAATCGGAAGCAAAGCTGGACCAATTTCAAACACGTTAGTTCATGGTAAGTGCAAGAGCCCCCATATCGCTCCCCCCAACCCCTTATGCCCAATCCCCAAAGAAGGTAGCAATCTGGCTATAGACATTCCAAGGATCTAGTCTTTATTAGAGCGTTCAATCTGCCCAGCTAGTACAGTTGTGTCACAACAAAACAAACCCCAAGATAAAGATACTCAAATACCTCGGAGGAAGCACCATGGAGTCACAGTGTTCCCAGAGCAGCATCTCTAGGGAGCACCTGCTTTGCTGGCCCACCTCTCACTCCATGCATAGTTAAAGCCGAGATGATGATTCCAGAGAATGGGCACGGCAATGCAGGCACTGCAGTGAAAGACTGATGCTCCAGACACCTGACTACTTCAAAGCCACATTTGGCTGAGAGAGCCAAACCCTGAACACACAAGAGGGTTTGTTAAGACATACTTTTTCCCCTAAGGCCAACTGACCTTTGCATGCTCACCCACCCCCCCAAGCTCCATTTCTAGCTAGGGAATGAATTTCAAATGCTATCAGTAGCTCACATGTGGAATCACATTGCTGGAAATCGTCTGCTTCTGGAGATAGGCCCTGGCAGAGGGAAGATCCCCACCACAGGACGCTGGAAGAGGTCTGCCTATCTCCTAGAACACCACTGGCTTCAGCCCCCAACACAGCAACAGCTGGAGATACCTGACTAGTGAACAAGTTTGTTTGTGCTTCAAAGGACAAGCCTCATCTCTCCAGATAACCCAGCTGGTCTCTGGCTTTGTACATTAACACCACACTGCACGCCAAAAACCAAGAAAAATCAGCAGCATTTCAAATTCTCCTACAAAACACAGGATTAGGTAGAGGAGCCCGGGGCAGGCTCCTGGACAGATCTGCCTCATCGTTCCTGTACATGATTACACTTTGGCACTGCAGACTTGAAGTAAATTCCTGTATGTATCTTCCTGCTGCCTCCTCTCCAGACAGCTCTGCACAGCATTGCCCACCATGCACGCCCCCTACCCCACTTCTATTTTGGCATTTACATGGAATCCAAGCCCACCCCTGTTAATACAACTCCACTTGGAGAGCTCTTTGCTCCAGCTGGCCCTTCACAGGCAGAAGCCATGCCAGAAAACCTCAGCAACACGTAACCTGCAGCCCCAGTCATGCTTCAGCAAGGTTACTAGAAATGATCTTATGACCCCCCCCTCCCTCCCCAGCAGAAACATTTGCCTCTTCAGATACCCCCACTTGAGCTCCTGGGATGTCAGCCCCTGCAGAGGTTTACAGTACAGTTGTGTTTGTATGGTTACAGGCACTTAAACAGGATTCTTTGGTCCTTCAAAGGAATTCGCCACTCTGGCTCCTAACTTCAGAAGCCACAAGTCTGCACACCCCTAACACCTCCCACACTAAAAACCAGCCCCGTTCAGAGCCATTCCAGGGCAGTGCAGCTCTACCTTAGTGTAATTCTACAATCTCCCCTCACACACACCCCCACCCACCCCCATGACCTCCACAATTCAATAAGCAATTGAGTCTTCCTGTAAACGTCCAGGTCATCTGGTTTCCATAGCACTGCACTTCCCATCACAGTGTACAGGCCTCATTCCAACAAACCCAGGAACGAGGCACTCGAGTCCAGGAAGCTTCTTTTCATTGCAGTTCTAGGAAGGTTGGTTGCTTTGTCTCTTTTTCTTGCCCCCACCCTCCCCATTCCCCCCAAGGTATGGGATTACCTTGGAGGAAAGACCCTGAAGTCTGTTCTGGCTCAGTTACAGGGAAGCCATGTTGGGTAAGACTGATTGCAAGGCAGGAAGGGCTGCACGTGGGTGACATAGTAGTTGAAGTTTATTTCACTGACGTAAGGGGCTGGCTGGTAGTAGCAGGTAACGTTTGTGACCGTGGGGATGATGTTCTGCTCAGCCAGGACTCTCACAGCCAGCATGGCAATGAGGTTCAGGGTCTGTCTCCTTTCGTGTCCCATAAGACAGACTGTGCTTTCATTGACCACCCTGTGGAGGGTCATCAAATAGTCATATCGTTTGTTCTCCATCCCCACAAAGTGGCTCTGAAGGTAGCACTCTAGCTTCCTCTGCTGCTCACTGATGTCAGAGAAGTCTATGAAAAACCTGGAGCACATGTATCTCTGGAGCGCCTTCATATCCACTTCTGATTTGGGCTTAAATCCCCTCACCAAGAGGTTGCAGTATTTCAGAAGCCCCCCACCTCTGATCTCCTCTGGGTTCCTCGTGGCGATGACCCTGTTCCGGAGATGGTCCATTGCCTCCTCAAAGTCCCCGTACATGCTCTCCCCAGTGACCGTTGGGTGGAAGTTCTCGGCCATGGGGTTCTCCGAGCACTCTCCGAAGAGCAGAAGCGAATCCAGGATGATCTGGAAGGAATCCACGCTGAACTCGAACTGCCGCCTGAGGGAGTCCACAAACTTGAGCTCCACGTTCTTGCCGCTGTTGTTGGAGAGGGATATGAGGCTCCAGCGGTCGGTCTCATTGCACACCTTCACCAGCTTCTGCACGTACGCCTCCTTCAGCGTCATGGGTGTGATCTTGTCTTTGTTGACACCTTCGGGGAGGAAGTCAAGCAGGCAGTCCATGACCACATCTTTAACAAGCTGGAAGACGTCTTCGGTCTTCAGATCCACGCCAAAGATGAGATCCAGGTCTTTGTACCCCAAGCCACTGTCTTGATGTAGAACGTGACTAGCTGCTGAACCATTCAACCTGACGTTATGGACTGCAATTCCTTTCTTCTCCAGGCGACTACGGACAACCTGAGATATGGAGAGAGTCAGTGAGAAGCAAGAAAACATTCCTGGAGCAGCCTGGTTACAGCAGCAGGATTCACTCCCGGCACTTAATATGGGTCACTCCAGTGCAAGACAGTGAAATAAAGAGCTAATCCATCAGAAATAGGTCACTTTGGAAAGCATCCAGAGTTTTGCCAACAGCCAAGGGGTGGTTCTCCTTTACTTTTTCCCCTTGCAGTAGAGGTCTCCTACTGCACAAGTGGCTCTTTGCTCTTCCCCTCCTTCCCCCACCAAAGCCAGGTTACCTGCACTCATCTTTGGGGTGGTCTCTGCTCCCTTCATCCCCCCCCTCCCCAGGTTGCAGCCTTTCCAAGCATCAAGAGAGCAGCCATTCCAACAAGGATTCCAACTAGAAGGCAGCAGCAAAGTCTGCAGCTGCCCCTGGTGATTTAATGAGGGTGGCTCACTCCTTTCAGCCATCCCCTTTGCCTGTCAAGATTCATTAAAGGCAAATCAAGATGCCAGAACTGCTCCAAAGCCCCAGCCAGGCATATGCAAGTTCATGTCCTAACTAGTAAGTGTATCCTAACAATTTCCAGTGTGTCAGAGCTTCGCGCTGCACTTGGCATGCTATCAAGCACAAGAGACGGCTTTCATCTTGCGGGTGTTACTCCAGTGATTTTAATGCTGCCTGCTCAGTCCTGGCACACCCACCAGTACCTCCAAAGCTTTGTTCCTTCGGAGCAAAGCTGAATCACTTGCCCGATTACTTAACATGCAAGAGGCTGAAATAACCCCAAGACCATAAAATAAACTATCTAGACACCAGCTTATAATTTGAGTTTAACTAAACTCAAAGATCCCAGGAAGATTAAGTTCACCTCTTCCCATCTCTCATCCTTTCATGTTCCTCTCCAGCAATTACCCACTACCCTGGGAGCCCCACCGAGCCAGCCAGCTCCCCCAGTGCCCAAAGCAAGGCTAGAGCTTGAAAGAGCAAAAGCTTGGGATACAGATGGACAAATCATATCACTGGGAGCCAGTGCGACCAGGTGAGCTCTGCCAGGCTGTCCTACTTTGAGAGGCCCCACTGAAACTCAAAGCTGGGAACCTGCTTGCTGGACACAGCCCTGAGCAGGTAGTTTGGGGGTCACCAAAGCGTTACAGCTCCATGGGTCTCAGCAGGTATCAAACTGCCCCTCAGCAAACAGCACATCTCTTGATACAAATTGAGGAGTGGTTTTCAACAGGGACTTGGTTAAATCTCATGATGCAGCTTCTCCACTGGTGTTTCCCTATTGCTCCCCGACATAAGCCACTGCTGCTTAGTCCAGAAGTGCACCCAGGCTCTTTGCCAGCCCAATGGTGACAGCCACATGCCAGGCAACAGTTAACCAGCAAGCTCCCAAGTCCCCATCAGCACATCCAATCCAGCCATAAAAAGGGCTATTTCCAAAGGCAGAGAATCTGGAAACTGAATTTACCCCTGGAAGAGACACAGGGTTATTCCCCCCTATAGAACAAACATCACAGAGGCCACCAAGACAACTCCTGGTGCGTGTCTGGTGCCAAGAGCCGCTGGAGCTGCTCACCCAAGGCACAGCTCCAGCACTACTTGTGGAGTTGGGTGTTGTGCTATTGGGCTTAGAGAGAGAAGACAGAAATCACAAAAGTGCCTGCTGCAGAACTCGGGCCAGTGCTTTGAGAGGATCTCAGTCCACGTTAACTTCCTAGAGCCAAAGAGCACCGGCTCAAGCCCTTTCTGGGCACAGCTCAGGACCAGCAGCACCACAGACCCATAAGCTTCAGACTCGTAGCACACCTATGAGAGATGTACTCAGAAAAGGTGGAAACCCCCCCATCTGCTCAAACGTGCTTTGTCCCAAATCACCCCAAGGCAGCTCCAGCCTGCAGCCTCACCACTGCCCCCAGTTCTCCAGCCGGAGCACATCTCCCTGGCTGCAGGCAGTGGGCTCAGGTATGTGTCTTCCCCAGAGGGTTGGATATTTAGAGGGTTAGGCAGCTGCTGACCTGCTTCCCAAAACAGCACCTCACATTATGTGTGGTTCACATAATTGACTCTGACAGACAGGCAGGAGCAAAGCCTGCCTGCATCCTGACCGGCCGCTTCCCACCTCCCACAACAACAACAGCACGCAATAAAGAACTGCCTTTTAGGTTACTCGTTTCACATTAGTCAGCCCTAAATACAGGGTCTGCCGGTGTGGCTGGTCCGAATGACAGCCCTCAGTTATGTGGTGCCTGAAGTTGCCAGTAGCAACATCCTTTTCAGCAGCTCTGACAGCAAATGTCTTTACTTTGGTAGAATTAAGCAGTAAGACACTGTGGAACATCTGATGCTGCACCACGCCAGGCTTCGCTGGCCTTGCACAACCTGAGGGCAATGTCCTGACAGGAGCTCTCACACTCACTTTAAAGTGTCATCAGCCAAGATTTAGCACTTCTGCCCCCACCAGATGCAGCAGGAACTCGAGGCATTGGGATTCACAGAGCAGCCTTTCAAATGTCACCTTCTCATTTTCCAGGCTCTAGCAGGAATATTTCTCAAGGCTTCAGAATCCCAACGATGGGTTTCTTGTGAAAGCCAGGCTGGGGTGAGCTTTGTGAAGAGCCCTTTTAATTAGAAGCCAACATGCCCGATTTTACATTTGATGAGTCATTACTGAGGCATGAAGTTGCCTCCCAAATATGAATATGCATCAGCTCATTTGAACTACATCCTTAGTTCAACATTAAACACAGTTATTACCTTATGGTTAAACTAACAGGAACTCTTTAGCAAGACAGAGTCTTGGGCAGGCCCTGGAGGATACAGATGACAACCAAAGGGCCACTGACACTCGATCTAACACAGCAAACAGTAACTGCTCCAAGACATCCAGCCCAACAAGCCCACCAGCATGAAGCAATCCTATGGGAGCAGCTCTGGAGAACCCACTCTGCCTCAGCCACCAAAACAGCTCAAGAACAGGAGGGCTGCAGGGTGGGAGCAAGTCGAGCAGGATCAGGCATTAGGAACGCGTTCATTTTCCTATACAAGGCTATTTCAAGGTCGGTTTTCCTAAACTTAGGCATTACCGGGGAGGGGGCAGCAGCCACACCACCGACACCAACAGCACCGGGAAGCGGGACCCAGCCCTCCCGCACCGGGAGCCCGGCCCTCAGCCCGCAGGGGGGGCCGGGCTGGCCCAGGGCCCGGTAACCGCCGCCTCAGCACTTTGGCTCCTTCCCGCCCCCCCCCCCCGGGACCGGGGCAGAGTCCAGCGGCAGAGCGGCTCCTCCTGCCCCCGCGCTCACCTGCACGATGGTGCGGGGTCGCACCGACAGCGTGGGGAAGTTGCCGCGGCCGTGGATGGGCACGGCCTCGCCCAGGATCTGGTCCAGCCGCTGCACCTGCTCCCAGGACAGGACGCTGAAGCGGTCTCCGCCGGGCTGCTCCGCGCCGCCCGGAGCGGGCCCCGCCGCTGCCGCCAGCATGGCCCAGCCCCGCCGGAAGAGCCGCGCCGATCACCCGGAAGCGGCGCCGGAGCACGGGGGGGGGGAAGCGAAGGGGGAGCCGTGCGCGGAGCACAGCGGGGCCTGCAGGCGCCGTCAGTGCCCGGTGCAGCCGCAGCGCCCGCCCCGCCGCCGCCTGCCCCAGCACTGCGGGGCCCCCGCCGCGCCGCCGCTTTACATAGCCCCGCCGGCGCGGCACCCATTGGCCCGGCCCCGCCGCCAATGGCCGCCCCGCAGCGCCGCCTCTCCCGCGCTCCCATAGGCCCAGAGGGAAGGGTGGGGGTGAGCTGATGGCCAATTAGAGGAGAGGAGGGAGGAAAGAGGCGGGGCGAAAGGGGAGGGGGCGGGGCACGGTGGTGGGGCCCCGCCTTTCCGGCGGGTGCTGGTGCCAGCGGTGATTGGCTTGAGACGGAGCGCGGGTTACCGGGGCGCCGCGCTGGTGCCGTGGGTACCGGGTGGCACCCGCGGGTACCTCGCTGACGGCTGTTGACGTCTGTTGGTGCCCTGTGACACCCACTGATGTCCCGTTGATACCCGTTGACTCCCCATTGATGACCGTTGATGCCCCACTGATGCCCTTTGATACCCATTGATGCCCATCGATGTCCCATTGATGCCCGTTGATAACCGTTGATACCCATTGATACCCCATTGACTCCCCACTGATGACCGTTGATGCCCCACTGATGCCCTTTGATACTCATTGATGCCCATCAATGCCCCATTGATGGCCATTGATGCCTACTGACGCCTGTTGATACCCGTTGATACCCATTGATATCCCATTGATGCCCGTTGATACCCACTGATACCCATTGATGCCCCATTGATGCCCATTGATGCTCCAAGGTCTGAAACCCCATTGCTACACCATGGCCTAGCACCCCCAGAGCCCAGTGCCCCCTGGCCTGACACCCCCCCCCCCCCCTTCCAGCAGTGTCCCCAGGGACTCACTGCAGCAGCTGCATGCAGGGAGCTGTGCTACCCAGGACACACAGGGAAGCATCCCCTGATGATGGGATCCACCAGCTTGGGATGCTGAGTAGCCCCTGCCCCATGGCCCTGCTGCGGGCCGAGCCCCCGCCTCCTCCTCAGGCCATCCCTGTTCTCTGCCACCCATTTCCTTTTATCCCAACAATTCCCATCCCTTTAAAGAGCTCATTTCTCCTCAGCAGTTAACAGACAGCTCCAGGAGGCACCTCCCTGCCGCGCTGCTGCCCTCGGGGAGGCTCTTGCAGAGCTCTTCCAAGCTGTCTCCAAAGCCCAGGCAGGTTTCTCCCCTTCCATATCCCAGGGGTTTGCCGCTGGAAGCTGCAGGAAGAGTAACTTAAGTGATGGGGCATTTGGGTTTGGGGGGAAATGAGGTGTTCAGGAGCACCCACAACTGGGGTTGGGGATAGAGCAGGCAAAAGGGTGCCCCAAGCCCTGGTCCCTTCTGAGATCCTCTCCATCCCAACAGCCTGAGTGGTCCCCAGGGGTGTCTGGGGTCCCCTCTACCAGGGTCCCCATGTGAGGATGTTCCTTGTGCCACCATGGTTTGCTCTCTGGCATTATTGTGGGGATCCATTCGAAACCTCCACCAGGATTAAATGCTGCTCCTGCTCACTGCCAGCAAGGCTTCAGACGGGTGCAAGAGGAGAGGATCCCTGCTGGAAAGTGATTTTCCAAGGAACTTAAAAAACCAGGAAGGCTGCCTCCTGTTGCAAACCAGTTTTGGTCCTGGCAGCAAGAGCTGGATCAGGAAGAGCTTCCCAAGACACTGGGAGAGGGCAAATGGCTTTAGGGATCTACCAGCCCATCCTGGAAGGACTGGGGTGCAGGAGGCTGGTGATGAGCCTAAGAGGGACTGGAGTGCTGAGGGCCCGTTAAAAGAGCTGCTCCTTAACATCCATCACCAAACCATTATCCCAAGGAGCCACCGGAGCTGGGAATGGCACTGAGGCTGCTTCCTCCCAGCTCAGCAAGGGCTGATCCAGGCTTCCTTTGTTTTGTTGGCAATTAAGGACTAATCATTGTCTGGGGGTGACACTCAGGTGGTGCCCCTGGGGTGGTGGCACAAGGATTGCAAAGCCCCTTTGAGGCTGTTGGAGTGGGGCAGGGGGGCTGTGGTCCTGCTTGATCCACGGATGCAGGGCAGCATCCTGATGCTTCCATCACCCCACTGGGACATCAGTGGGATGAGCTGGGATGCCTGTGGGGAGGAAGGGGCAGCTCTGGCAGGGGTCTGGAGAGGGGCAGGGGGTGAAATCCAACCTGGAGGTGAGGAGGAACCTCAGGGACTCCCTGGCTCTGTCCCGCCCTCCATTAAGCAGGGTGTGAGCCAGCTCCCGGAGCAAGCAGAGGGACTGAGCCCTTCTCCCAGAGCCACCACCGTCACCCAGAGCACCTAAGAGAGCAGCAGGATGGGGTGGTGCCATCCTCCTGCCCCATTCCCATGGCATCGCCACCCTGCACACCCCAGGCTGTCCCCATGCCCATGGCTGCTGTCCCCACACATGCACCAGCCACCTCTGTGCATGTCCAGGCTGTCCCCATGCACCCCTGCGCACATCCCTGCCTCCCCATGTCCACTGTGGGTTGAGGAGGTGGAGCCCTTCTCCATGGCCACATCCAAACCCCGCTCCTGGGCACCTCCAGTGTCCATCCACCACCCAGCCTCGCTTGCTCACACACAGCCTGTCCCAGAGGTGCCACCGCTGCTCACTGTCCCCACATCCTCACTGACAAGGCACCCATGGCCCTGGCTTGGTGCCACTGGCTTCCTCCATGGCCCCAATGGTCACAGTTGCCCAAAGAAGGGGCTTCCCCATGGTGAGCACTGGTGTTTCCTGCCCAGCATGAGGGATGCCCCCATTCAGGATCCCCAGGCTCCAGTCCCCACCTGGAGCTAATGACAAGTGATGCTGTTGGGACACCCTCGCCCTGGAGAGGAGGCACTGAGATGAAAGGGAGCGCAGGGTGTCATTACTGGAGGTGACACAGAGCTGGGGAATGGCCCCATCACCTCCCTGGGCTGCTGCCTGGGGAGCTGGGGGCAACACGCACTGCTGGGGCAAAGGGACAGGGACCCCTGTCCCCAGAGCAGGGCAGGGACTGAGCTGTCCCCTCCAAGCTGCCCATGGTGTCACTGCTCCCATTCCCTGCTCCTGTGTCCCGCTCTCGGTGGCTTCCCACTGACCCCGAGTGCTTGGTGTGATTTGTGCTCTGAAACCCGTGGCAGGAGGTGACCATCTCAGCACCACTCACCTGAGCTGGGCACGGGCTCTCCCTGCACTTGGCATCACCAGGACCCTGACATGCTCGGGGGGGGAGCAGAGGGAGCCAAGGGGTACAGAGGGGAAGGGCATCACAAGCACAGGCTAGGCCCGGTCCTTCCCTCCTGCGTGTGTGTTGGCAGTTGCTCAGCGGTGACAGCCCAGCCCCGCGGGGATCATTACTCCTCCCTCATTACGAGGAGTTATTCACCCTTTGAGACAGAGACAGAAATACCCTGGAAATGCCTCAGTTTGTGGGTTCTTGCAGTAAAGGTGTGACTGGGACCAAGGGGGGCTGCACGTGATGCTTGCTGGCACGTGGGGGATGCGCAGGCAGCAGCCTCTGTGCCTGCACAGGGGCCATCCCCTGCCTCCGGGCTGTGCTGGCACCTCTTGGTGCTCCTGGCACTGGGATGGCAACGCTGCTGCTCCTGCACAGTGAGGACGGAGCCGAGGCCCATTCCTGACAAATCTTCCTGGCTCGGGTCCCCCATGCCCTGGGCATGAGCCTCCCACGGAGGCTGTAGGGACGGCACCCACCAAACCAGCCCCACCATGGGCCATATGGCATCACCTACCCCACGCTCCACCTCATCCTGCCCAGGGACCCCTTGGCAAGGGGGGAAGCCCTGTGCTGGGGTGGCCACGTTCTGGCCCAGGATCACGGGGAACCCTGGGCCTCAGGTATGTGAAGCACATGAGCATCACCAGCGCTGATGCTGGAGCTGGATGGCAAGGGCCTGAGTCACAGCCTCTGGAGTCAGAGCTTTAACGTGCAGCAATGAGACATGCTCCCACTGCAAGTGACAGCAAAGAGCTCCAGGGCACCCCCAGCCGGGGTGGAGGTGGGGTTGATGAGAGAGGGCTTGACTTTAGCCAAGGGGTCAGATGAGCCCCCTCCCCTGGGCACACAGCCCCCAAACCTGTCTGCAGTGTAGGCAGGGACCCCAGTGCTGCTGCAGCAGGACCCTGCCCCTTCAGCCACAGCAGGAAGGCGAAGGGCGAACACTGAACATCCCAGTGGGAATGAGGCCTCCCAGGATGCTGTGGCACAGGTTGGATCCCAAAGAGCTGGAAAAACCTCTGCTAAAAATTACCATTAATTTATTAGAATATTCATGATAAAAACCCAGATTCTCTTTATGCGTGTTTGTCTTTCCTTTAGATACCAGAGAATCCGCATTGCTTTCTTTCCCTCCTGGACACAGAGCAGGGCAGCAGCAGCACAGGCAGCAGGGGGGCTCTCGCCCTGGTGTGACAGAGCCACATGGACACCAGGCCCCCACTGTCCCCATCGGGACGCGGCGCCCACCAGGGCAGCGATGACATGTGGCAAGGCACAGCATGGGGAGGGCTGGTCAGCACCCCACAGCACGGCAGAGGCAGCCCCATGGTGAAGGGTGGCACATGGGGGGCGGGCTGGCACCACAGGACACCCCTGAGCCCAGGGAGCGCTGCCAACACCCGGCCAAGCCATGCGGAGAGATGGGGCCTTCCAAGCTCAGGACCCCCAACCCCCCCAGCCTGACCGACCCCTCCTGCCACCCTCCCCAGTGGCCCCACCATGTCTCTTCCCCAGCTCCTCGTGGCTGCAGGGAGCGATACAGAACCCCCCTCTGTAGTCAGCTGAACCCCCACATGCCCCCTCCCCACACCGGGGAGCCTGGACCCATCTTTGGTTAAGGAGCAGCCAGTGCCGCGCAGGCACGGGGCGAGGGGCAGAGAGTCCCATGGGGACGGGTGGCAGCGGTTCCAGGAGGGATGGAGAGGCCCAGGCTTGCAGGGCCGCTCCGAGCGAGGGGCC